AGTGTGTAACTCAAACAATGCTTTAATTTCTCAACGTTGTTCGCACACCCACGAATAGAAGCAATTATCAACTCATTAAGTGCACTTAAAGTAATTGTCCAAGATCGGTTTGGTATAAAATACTCCATGATAAACTATTGTATAAATTTTAGGCTAGTCCAATCATGTTAATCTTTAAAAAAAAAATTATAGACCTTATATTGAAATAAGAGTCACGTCCTGTTGTGGTTTGATAGTTTTTTTTTTTGAAAAATAAAACATTTATTTATTAATAATAATGGGAGTAACAAGAGACAAAGCAAACAAATAGCTCAGAGTTGTTCTGGAATAAGACATAGAATTGATCAGCCCTGGAGGACCCGTCAAGATCGTTCACCATACATCATGGTAGGCTAATCTAACAGCATCGTTGTACTTGCGACTAAACTAAATGGACATAAAAGTTAGAGTTATTAGAATGAAAATAACAAATAAAATCAATGTTCCTGGTTTTTCCAACCACTAGCAAGGAAGAAGAGGTTTGACCAACCATCGGAAAAGAAAAAGAGGTTTGCCCAGCCACATCCAAAGGAAGCATCCCACTCAGAAGCTCTAATAGAATTCCAGGCGGTGCTGATTCAGTAGCATAGCCACAAAGCCGTTTATTGATCCGGTTCCATCAACCTCCATTATGACCTCCAGCACTTGGACCTTGACTAGATTCCCTAACCTGCGGCAGTTCCAGACTTCCAGCTCACACAGCCCATCCGAGTAGTCACCACACCCGACTGACCAAAGTTAACGGGGACAGAAAACACCCTACAATCGAGGGAAACAAAAACGCCAGATATATCGGGAAAAAGGTTGAAAACAAACACACGTAAAATCGGAATCCTCGTATATTACTCTAGAATGCCTTCAAAACCGTCAAAACGAGGCGGGATGAGGTTGAAGATGTTGTCGTTGGTTTGATAGTTTATTTTCACTCATGATTTAGAGTAACCCATTATAAGCTTGTTTAGCTCATTTTTAACCCATATATTGTCCTGATCGATTTGGGCTAGAGGTGTTAGTAGACCCGCTTATTATATTAATAAAGCGAAAAAGTATGATTGAATCTTTTGACTAAATGATTTCTTGAGTAGTGATCATGTCAGACCGAACTGATAGAACTCACCGTCCAGACGAGGGCATTTAGGGTCTTTTCTAGTAGAATTTTTTGATGAAATTTATTGGACATGTTCTCTATCAAATCTAGTTTATCAAGTCTAGTAAAATAAGTTCTTTCGACTTAAAGGAGAGTTTGCTATGGCTTAAAAAAACACTTCTTGGCTTTTAACTTAAAATAAGCTGAAAAAGTGTTTGCTAATGCCTACTTCTACTTTTAAAAAAATACTTTAAAGCTAAAAGTTGAAAGTTGGTAGAGAGGTGCTTTAAACTGTTTTTCACTTCTTCTATTACACAAAAAACACTTATTTCATCAAACACTACTCATTTTTACTTTTTCAAAACCGTTTTTTCCCCAAACACTGCCAACTTTTACTATTAAACACTTTTTCCAAAATCACTTTAAAAAAATCACTTTTTAAAAGTAAAAGCAATCACAAACACTCCCTAAAATTCAATCAGAAAGACAATCAAATAAATTCTTTACAAAAACTACGTTTTCTTTTTTTTTAAACTTTCCTAATTTATCAGTTTATCCATCTTTTCTCTCTTTATTTTTACGAAACAGGTTTGCTTTTCCTTACTTTTTAAAAGTTAAAATTACTCTATATAAAATAATCACTTTATACTTTAATTTTCTTAAAACCCACTTCAAACCTATATACAAATATCTTACTCTTAGTCTCTTACTTTTATCAGAGGGAACGAGCGAAATATTTTATTTTCCACTCAACACTTGATGAATATGTCGTATATATATACTTTTATGTACATAAATGTGCATAACTATATTGATATCAGTATTGGGAAAAACTACCCAATTTTTATTTAGCTTTTACTAGCATTAGATAATAAATTTCATTTTTAGAATTCTATGCCCCATGTAAATGTTAATTTGTAATCATAATATTAAATTTTGAGTAATGACACTACGAATATATCGATAATAAGAATGAAAAAATTAATTGAGTTTTACCTAAACAATAGGTTCCAAGTTCCAATCTTATAAGAGTGGACATTAATTTGCAATAACACATAGGGATGGACTCGGGCCGGGCGGCCCGGCCCAGTTACTGTTTGAACCAGCCCGGCCCGGGAACCGGTCCGGGGGCGGTTCGGGTCGGCCCGGCCCGGTTACTGTGCAGTTCGGGCCCGGACACTTTGATTGGCGAACCGGCCCGGCCAGTCCGGGCCCGGTTTAGGCCAAATTAATTTTTTTTTTTTGAATTTTTTTAAGTTTTTGGGTTGGGCTTGGTATTTTGGGCCATTTGAGGTGGTTTGGGAGTGAGGTGGGAGGGTTGGGGGTTAATTAGGAAAAGCCAAAAAAAAAATAGAATCGAGGCCCGGACCCGGGATTACCCGGGCCGGTTCCGGGCCTCCCATTTCTGAACCGAGGCCCTGCCGGGCCCAGGCCCGAACCGGGACTGGTCCACCCATAATAACACATGGAAATTGGGATCATTAAAAGCAGGACATTGACAATTGTAGTTGAGATTATGTTAGTCCATTACTCCATTTTTCCTGAAAAAATGAGTATGAGCAAACACACAAAAATATCCATTTAGTTTAAACAAATGTTTTATCATCTCTCATATTTTCTTTACTTCCATTTTTCAGTGTTATTTCCTCACATTCTTTTACTAGCATTGTCTGAGTTCCAATCCGACCACAAAATTCAATCATGCGCAACTGCACAATGTTAGAGACTGAATGACTGGTGCTCTGGTATTAGTACAAACACGGTTGAATGCAAAAGCTGAACATTTAAATCCCGAGTTAAAAATACATCTCTAGTAACAAAAAAAAAGCTAACAGCAGCAAAACGCTAGTTGCATATGTGTATGGATGTGGAATAAGAATGAGCCATATGCATCCGTTGAAAATAAATTAAAGAAGGTACAACCACTGAAGATAACTGCCAGAATGGGGGTAGAGGGCTGAAGACCTGACAGTAATGCAAAAGAAGCCAGAGTTACCCTTACTGGCTGCTAAAAGATGAGTAAGATATTGTAACCTACAACTTCTATGAATCTATATTTACAGCAGGCCATCAATCCCTGGCAGTATCTATTGATGCCAACAGCTATGATTTTCAACTCTGATCTCAAGGCCTACCTATACTGAGGGTCTGAGGCAGTCATAGGCATGACTTAACTCATGGTTTGAGTGTGGGGTTAAATGCTCAAATGGTACTCCATAACTATTTGTTTTGTATTCCCCCTATTTTGGTACCTCGACTGTTAACTATTTCATGTCATTCAAATCTCAATATTCATGAAAGAGTTACATCCCAAGGTGCCATGGGCCAGCAAGTGAACCAGATACCATAACAATATTGACGATCTTGAAAGGTTTTTAGTGGAAGTTCACATGCCAACAATCATTATTGTGCATTTCAATAGTCATCGTAATCAAGTTTGACAGGATTTACTTTGGCACCATGAAATGTAACATTTGTCATCAGTTGGATAACATTGAAATACATTAAGCACTTGAGGTGCCAAAGGTACCATCTGGGCACATTATCCTTTAAGGTGAAGAAACAGCTCAAGCATGCTAGCATGCTGGCCTGTGAAGATTTTTGAAGCACTAGCTGAGGTGTAGCTCCTCAGTTGAGTTCCTCTCAAGATGAAGTGTGGATCAAGTAAGTTAACAGCATATATGGTATAACCAATCTTTTCATTTATATTGGCCAAACAAGACAGGCCATTTGATATAATCATAAAAGGTCCAGAGAAAAGGACCATATATGGAACAAGCCCTGCAATTTCAAGAACAGATAAGACAAGATGATCACCACTCCATTTGTCCCAATTTAATTGAAGTTTAGGAAATGAGCACAGATATTAAGGAACATTACAAAGAGACATTAATATTCCTGATTTCCTGTAGTGTTAAACCTTAAATGCGTCTTATTTATTTTCAAAGGAACAAAAGCATTTAATATGGGAAAAGTCATCAAGAAGAAATTTGGGAGATTAACACAAAATATACATTTAATTCCTGAAACAAAAATTATTTTGAGTCAAAAAAGTATTGACGTTAAAATGACAACTAATTTAGGAGGACAAATATTTCATGGGTGCAATCCTGATCAAAGAAGCATTTTTTGTTGAAATATGGCCATTAGTGTGACATACTAGATTCTAAAAAATGACTATTTTTTCAGTGAAGAGCCTCATATTATGACGACTATACAATTGAGTAGAGCGCTTGGCATTGAAATCCACAAATTAGAAAACTCCAAAGTATAAAAAAGGGCAGACCGGTGCATGAGGGCATCCCCACTAGACGAGAGTCAACGGAAGGGTCCCACCACAACGGTGTTAAGGGGCAAGTCTTCCCCTATCAAATTTTTAACAAGAGACCACTCTCAAAAACTTGAACCGGTGCACCAAGGCTCCCCTATACAAAACTCCCAAATGTGCAATTAGAATATTTGTTGGATCAGTATAGCATTTGATATATCAATAGAGAATTCAATATTGGCATGTACACACTTTTGGACAATACATGAATGAACAATAGCACAAAAACGGGACTGAAGTATTTGTGCATGCTGCATAGCATACTTTCCTAGAGGCGTTGAAGACATGAAATCATGCCGGAGAACAAGTAAGCGTGTTTTCTTCGCTGGTTAAAACCCTGGAATGTGTAGAGATGAAGAAGTCGGCTTACAGAACTAGTGTTTGGTTATTTCACTGGGAATGCCTCTTTTAAACTTGTACTACATATTTGGTATTAGTATATATATATATATATATATATATATATATATATATATATATATATATATATATATATATATATATATATATATATATATATAATGTTTACAGTTTATCCAAAAAGACATGAAAGACACATGTGTCTAACAGCATTAGAAACTACAGGGAAGTGACAAATCTCCGGGAATAATGGAGATAGATTAACAAACTGTGTTGACTACAGAACGTTTTGTGATGTAACTCATGTCATAGATCAGGCCAGTCGCAAAAAGTCCAAAAATACTCAGAATTGCTTATAAAGTACCTCTCAGAGTAAGGGGCCAAGTGGAGAGGTAGTCATACCTTATCCAAACCGAGTAAGGGGGACGGAGGAAGTATAACATTAGAAGCACCTTTTATTAGTTTTTAGACACAAACTATTTATCAGTATAGAGACTAAACCCACTATCCAAACATACTTAGGATAATACATATTTGGCAAATTTCCCCAGGTAGGACGTAGGAGTAAAATAACCCCAAAATGCAAAACTAGGACTAAAGTTTATATATTTTCAAAATAAAAGTAATTTATACTCTCTTCATATGCTACCCTTACCATATTTTAATAAAAAAAATCCTAATTTTATTTATATTAAAAACATAAAATTAATAACAAAAAAATATAATAAAAACGTAGAAATATAAAAATAAAACAGAAATAGGGGAAATTTTAAAAATAGAAAATTAATAAATAAAGCACATAAAAAAATGCAGGCCTCTGTCACCGCTTCCTAGCACCGCCACCACCGACCACCCGAAAAGTGTCATCTTCTATTGAAAATGTCACTTTTTCACTGAGAATGTTATGAAGATGACAGTATTACTCTTTGGAAATGCCAAATTTTGCTCTAAAACTGTCATCAAGATGACGTTATGGTTGCATGTTGACATTTTTCGGTGGTGATGCTAAAAGGTGGCAGAGGCGGCAGCAGAGGCCTGCACACTATTTTTATTTTACTTTTTTCAATGTTTTACGTTTTATTATAAATAAAAATTATTCTTATCAAAATATGGCAAATGTAGGATAGGGAGAGTTACTCCTACTTTGGAAATTTAAAATTTACTCTTATTCTTGCAATTTATCTTTTATTTAATCTTATTTATGGAACTACCCTAAATATTTGTGTTCCTAACATCTTAAGCTTATTATCCAATTCATTGCATATGATCAGACTGAGATATTAATCATTTAATGCATGCTGCTTGAATCTTCAGGTATTTTTTCTAACATCATGGCTAAGGTAAAATTTTGGCTATTCAGATAGGAGTGAATTGAAAATTATGTTGCTCCAAAGCTATGACAAAATCCAAGTAACAATGTGATCATGGAATTTTTAAAAGTTAAGTTTTACTCAAATGTTGGTGTAGACAACAATGTGATCATCAACTGTTTTTGTTTGTTTTGCTAGAAAGGCTCTACCTTTTGCTTAATAAGTGCTCGGTTGTTGTTTCATTTGAAAAAAGAAAAGGCTAAGGTATTGATCCCCACAGTACTACCTACTCTCCCCAACTGCTTTCCTTTTCCATATGTCCCGAAATTATATTTTCATTACTTAAATAGAAAGTATTGTGCTGTACTGTTGACTGTTGTTGAAATATTTCTTTTTCTTCTAAATAAATCGCAATCACAAAATCTCATATTTCTTAGAAAGCACGCGAAAAATAAATGAGAAGCTGATTTGAGGATGGATGAAGTATAAAACAAGTATTGCACTTCTGAGATATGTAGGCTCACTCTCATGAACTAATACTACAAAGCAACACAATCAATATCTTCAATTTCATAGCGTTTCTAAGTTATTTGCATATTCTTCCAATACACAACTGATTTTATGTTGGATCAGACACGTGAAAATCCAAAAGAAAGCCTAATAACACATCAAATCAATCATCAACAGGAAAAATTCTCTTAAAATAAAATAATTTTGAAAAGAATAATGTATATAGTAAACGAAAGGGCAATAGTTTTGCGTACCCTGAGAGAAGATGAGAAGTTTTGTCATAATCCCTAACTTCCATTGACCAGCCAAAACACATTCTTGTATACGTGCTGGAAAAGCTACGACTTTAGCTCCGCGAATCTCTGCCTCACTGCAATCCCAAGCTCCCATTCATCAACACTAGCAAGACCCTCAACCAGTTTCTGTCTTGCCTTAATGTACGGTATGAATCCCTTTTTAGTCATATCCATCACGAATTTCCCCGCCAAGACAAACTGCCTACACTCTATGCATCCTTCAAGAACCAACTCAAAGCATTTGAATCCAAGGAACACTCCCTCGGCTTCTAACATCTCAACCAACTTAACCGCTCTCCATATTTCCTTGTTAGCCCGCATTGCTTCAAGCACTTTCACCAAAATCTCCTGTCTAGGGTTCAATCCGACCGTCACCACCATTTCCCTTATCATCTCAGAAACTGCATCAATCATTCTGAGCTCACACAGCTCGGAAATCAAAGATCCATAGCTGTCCAAATCCGGAATACACCCAGCTTGTCCCATTCCCCTCAACACATTAACGGCTTCTTTCAATTGATCCACCTTGCATAGTGAGGAAATAAGGTAATTGCAAGTTCCGGAATCAGGATTATATCCAATCGCATTCATTTCTGACAGTATCTCAGAGACCGAGAGCAGATTCTTCCTGCGTTTAATCCACGCATTGGAAAGGAGCAAGTGGGATTGAGGGGGAGGAAGACAGCCAGAACGGATAGTACGTTGAAGAATCACAAGAGCTATAGGGAGCGGGTTCGAGCTCTGTAGGGTGTAAGAGAGAAGAAAAGAATAGGCTCTCGAAGGACGATAACGGGGTCGGAGAGGAATAAATGACTGCAAAATGTCATCAACGACCCTGATTCTAGCACTCTCCGGGAAGGTCGAGAGGAATGAGAAAGGGTTGTGGGTCTGCAGAGAGGGGTTGGTAGCAGCGATGAGGTCGGGAATTCGCTCATAATGTTTGTTCTCGATGGCTGCCCTGATGGACTCCTCGAGCACTGCAGATGAAGAGAGCTTGTGTGCGGGAAGGAAATGGTGAACGTATGAAAGACATGGCCTGAGCTTTGCCATCACCATTTACACTTACTGGTGCTTGAATCTTGTTTGGGGATCAGCAGGCACGAGAAATTCAATGCGAAATCGCATTGAGTAGGTGACGACTGACTGTTGAGGAATCGCTAATATGATTCAACTGTTCAAAAACGCTAATTAACAATATTAGGAATAAGGATATGCTTAGTTCGAAGAAAATCAATAACAGAGAGACAAATAAAGTTCAGGATGTGGTTTTGATGGAAATTACTGTCTATAGACTAACTACAATAAAAAAAATATAAATGTACATCATAGATTTAGGTGACTCCAAGGTTGCAAATCCCATTCTCATGCACTGCCTAATATTCTAGGAACTCATTTATAATTTTATATCATCACTCACATTATGAACAGGGGTGGATTTAGCATTTCAATTTAGCATTTCAATGGAGCATGGTAAAGAATTAATATATAAAAAAACTTCAATTGCAACTAGGTAAAATACAAAAAGAAGTATTACAAATATTTTACAAGAATAGAAGTTTTCATCAAAGGCAAATAAAAAAATGCCACAAATTTAACTCTACAACAATCCACCACATCATATGATAAGGTTAGATAATATTAAAATGATCTTGATAAGTAACAATCATATTTAAAAATGGGGTTGATACTTAAATACTGCTCCAAGTTAAATTTAGTTAAAATACCAATAAATTTTAATCATATACAATGATACAAGTGCGACTCATGGTGTCTAATTGTTTCCTCTTACCATGTTACAGACCACATTGCAGTGATAATGAGATATGGCATATTCCATCCATTCATGTTCAGAAACTTTTTACAAAACATTTATGGTCATCTGGTGAGGTAAAAGAAATTTGAGAATATGCTTAACAAACATACATGATGCTAATTACCCCTGTTAACAGCAAGAATGCTCAATCATCATCATTATCATCATTACCCCTGTGCCGCAAAGGCTCCCACCTTCGGTGGGGTAAGGGAGGTCAGATGTACGCAGTCTTACCCCTACGCAGTCTTACCCCTATACTAAAGCACATAGAGACTGTCTCCGGATAATCCATTGTGAAAATTCCGCCGAAAATTGCATGGACTGAATGCTGCTTCATAACAAAGAAAACCAGATAGTTTAGTGAGCCATTTTGCTTTATTCAATCGTATTCCCAAGCCAAAAAATAGTGAGTCTTTGACTCCATTGTAAATGATGGAAAAGGCAAGAATGCTTTCAATGCTATTTATAAAAAGTTGCCAATGAAATTGTATTTAAAAAAAAATCACATTGATTTATTAATTCACCATCTTTGCCATAATAGTTTAAAATAGTGCACTGCTAAGGTATTTGTAGTAGTATCTCAGTAACTATCTTTACACACCAAAGAGAAGCTTAGGTTGTTCTTGCAAGCTCTAACCCAATCTCAGTTGTTATCACATTAACCTAAACCAGATTTTATCACTTCTTCTCATGTGAAGTTGGGTTAAAAATAATGAACAACGGAACAAGTGTTTCTTACAACAAGACAGAAATTAAAAAAAAAAAGATGAAATTCAAGATTTTAAAATGAAGAAATACCATTTAATTGAAAATTAAAAAACAAGATAAAGACCTGAAGTTGGAATGATCGGATAAAGAAGGGTGTGCAGGACTTTTTATATTTCCTTTGTTCTTAAATTTCACTAATTGAAATTTCAGAAAACTACAATTTACTTATTTAGACAAAAGAAGTAATTGAAGTTAAATTACTATTGAATCGGAAATATTTCTTAAACGCATATCATACAAGTTCATTGAATCAATCTAAAACCTTTTCTATTTTGAACAAAATATGGGATTTAATTTTTAATTTAGTTTACCTGGATGAGTAGGGGGTAGGAAAGACGGAAATCAGAGTTTTTTCAGCGTGCAGGTGCGGCCGATTGACACAGTCGACAGTCAGCCAGTCAAGCTGGGCGGCGGACGGCAGGGAAAAGCGCTGCGCGCGGTAGCTTGTGGTGGGTCGCAGGGGTGCTGCCGTGCTGTGGGCGCTGGTAGCTGGTATAGACTCCCCGTTGAAGAAAACTGGTCGTTTTCTCGTCGGTCGTGCTGAAATGGTGAATGGGATGAGATTTTGGTGCTGTTTGAAGCTGGAGACCTAAAAAGTTTAAAAACTTGGAGTTGCCGAACAAATCTTGCCGAACTGAAGTTTGAGACCTAGCAAATTGCCAGATGCAAGCTGGGGCAGATGGCGTGCCGCGGGAGGTTCGCGCGGCAGAGGATTACCCCGTTGGCCGAGATGGACGGACGGGCGGCCAGCTAAAGACCTAGCTACCGGCCGGCATGTATTTCAAGTATGTAGTACCAGGCGCGGAGCCAGGACAACCAAGAAGGCTGGGCCTGAGTGCAACTAAACTTCAAGACAGAAGTAATAATTATAGGAATCAAATTTATCAAAGTTTATCACAAAAGTTGCTACTCCAAAAACTATAATGATTATGTTTACAAAATTAACCGGACTCCGCGATCTTTTACTTTAGCAAACTCATCGATAAGAGAATCTATATCTATTGTGTTAACAAGTTCTCTTTCAATAAAAATGGTCAAATTATGACCGAGAAATTCATCAGTCATCTTGTTTCGAATTGCATTCTTGACATGCTTCATTGCCGAAAACGCTCTCTTAGTTGTGGCAGTAGAGACTGGTAATGTTAATACAAGACGTATCAATCTTGTAATCAGTTTAAAGTCCTCAACCTTTCTTGTTTTCACCAGCATTTCACATAATTTTGCTAGAGTGGGAACTTGAAATCGGGAATCTTTGACCACATGAGCATGATAAAACGTCAACTCACTCATTAAAGCATTTCTTTCATGTGGCTCAAAGTCGTCAGGATAAAACTCCACAGCAAGCTTGTATATATGATCGGCATTATACGATTCGAAAGAATTCCACGGGTCCAATGCTACACTAAGTTGCAGAAGTCTAACTGATGTCTCATTAAACCTTGAATTCAACCCTGTAACTTGGAAATCGATGGACTGGATGAAGTACTCAAAACGGTAATAATGCTGAACATCTATCTCATTTCTTCTGCGGCGCATTTTGCTCTTCATGTCAGGTATAACGATTTTATGTTTGAAGCAAAAATCTTCTACTTGCTTAAACATATCCTCCCATCCTTTATCTCTCAAATCCTGAAGAAGAGATTTGGCAGTCGAAACATATCCAAGCGCAGATAAAATGTCAACAGATTGCTTTTGAAATGCTTGACAAATAAAATCAGTTATTCCCATGATGGCCTTCATTAGATGCAAACCAAATACAAAATTAAAAGTTTGAATACTTGAGCACGCTCCCTCTGCTTCAGTCCGAGCCTTTGCATTTGACCCATCACAAGCAATATTTTCAAGCACCTTACAAGTTGCATTATACAATTCAAGCATACTTAGAACAGAATCATAATGGGAGCCCCAACGAGTTGTACCTGAACGTTTTAAAGTTGACATTTGATTGGCCCCTCTTCCCGATTGACGCTCCCCACTTTCTAACAAAGCGTCAATTTCTAATCGATGCTCAACTTGAAGTTCAGTATTGCGCTTGGCAGAAGACTTCACAATATTAATGACTTTGTCCAAAATAGAGAAGAATTTCCAAATAGGATCACATTGTTTTGCCGCAGCCACCAAAGTTAATTGCAACCTATGGGCAAAACTATGTACATAATATGCAAATGGACATTCATTAATAAACAATGCTTGCAAACCATCCATTGCCCACGCATGTTGCTAGCACCATCATACCCTTGGCCTCGTAATTTGTGATCTTGAAGATTAAAATGATACAGGATGTTGATTATCTCATGCTTAAGTGTTTTAGAAGAAGTCTCTGAAACGCCTTTAATAGCAAAAAAACGCTCAGTTAAAATAGCTTCAGCGCTCACAAATCTAAGGATAATTGCCATTTTCTCTCGGTCCGACTCATCTTTTTCTTCATCAACAAGGATAGAAAAGCAAGAATCTCCAATTTCCTCACGGATCAAGCAATGAACTCTGTTAGCCATGAGGGCTAAAAATTTTTTTGGATGTCCTGGGAAGTGTATTTTGCATTCTTTGGAGCATTACTCAATACAACAGCTTTCACATCAGAATTCCACTTCGCCGTGTAATTTATCATTTCAATCACATTCCCACGGTTATAAGACTTTTCAGACTAGATACCTCTCGTTCTCCGCTACGATCCTGGAAAAACTCTAGCTCTTTCAGGCGCCTCACTACCTCCCCCGATATGGGGGAGCCTCCTCCTCCAACCAAATCCTGGGTTTCGGTGGTTTCCGGTTCGCCCAGGAAACAGCCCAACATCAAGGATGACCCCTCGCTCAAGCTCGTAGTCGGAAAGCATAAGGGATGCTTCTCCGTCAAAATCCCAAAAGCTCGGTCTGACCTTCTGGCGGTGGACCTTCAATACTCTCTGACGGGTTCTTTCATGAAAGGAAGACCGCCTCTATCTGCCATTCGAAAGGTATTCGAAGCTTTAAATTTCAAAACTTTTACCATCGGGCTTCTCTACCAAAACGAGATTATTATCTCATTTTCCGACAAAAATGAGTATATCCGGTGTAGATCCAGACAGCCCTGGATTATACATGGATTCACGATGCGAATTTCTCGATGGTATCCTGGATACCACCCGGACAGAGAATCATCCTTCGTTCCTGTTTGGATTCAATTCCCTCATCTTCCTTTCCATCTTTTTGATGAAGATTTCCTTTTTGAGCTTTGCTCAAACTTCTGCCAACCCCTCCGATGTGACAAACCAACGTTGGATAAAAAAAAGGCCTTCTCTGGCCAGAATACAGGTGGAGATCGACCTCCTCAAGCCAATACCTGACAAATTCTGGCTGGAGGACGATGGCTATGAAGGCTTTTGGCAGTATATAATTATTGAGGAGCAACTCCCATTTTATTGTACTAAATGCTTCCATATTGGTCACAAAGAAGGAAATTGCTCTAAACAGACCAAACCTCCCACTGTGGGTGCTTTAGAGAACAACATATAACCTATTCCAGCAAAGGATAATGGGAAAATGGTTGTTCTTAACACTAACAATCCCACTACTCAGAATATGACTAAGTGGAAAAAAAAGTTTACTTCTCTTGAAACAGGTGAACCATCTGGAGAGGCCAAGGATGTCAATGATGACACTCATCAGGAATGTTTTGAGGATTCACTCCAACATTTGGATGGTGGTCCAACCATCCCGGTTGAGACTGCAACCAAAGAAGGGGCACCCAATGAAAAAACTGAGGGAAGTACTCACTCTGAAATGCCAATTTCCGAAACCCAAATTCCTGGTCTTCTTAATGAAGTGAAAAAAAGTATACATACTGTCACCATAAGTGATCCCCCCCTCACCAGTAACTTCATCCTCACCTAAACCCCAAACCCCAAATAATCTAGTTCTTAACCCCCTAAACCAAATAGGTGAGGATGATATAACAAATATGGAGATGGAAAAGGACCCCAGAGAGACCATCTCTGATGGAGAACCATCCACCAAATCCAAAAAAAATCCCACAGCTCTTCTGCCCCCTCCAAACATGTGGGAGAAAACCACAAGATGCCTTATGATTTAAGGCCCAAAAAAACTGCCTACCTTCCTGTTTTTAATGATTAGTTTCCTTTTTTGGAATATTAATGGGATTGGGAATACTCAATCCTCGGATAGATTTAAACTTCTTTGCAAAAACAATAAAGTTTCTTTTGCTGCTATTGTTGAACCTAAAATTTCTGCCAACAAACTACACAATAAAATGAGGACTTTTGGTTTTAATTATGCTTTGGCTCACTCGCGCAATAAAATGTGGCTTCTTTGGAATAACAGTATCTCTGTTACTATGATTTCAGACTTCCCCCAGTGCATTAACATGTTATTGGCTAAATTTATAAAACTACAAGTAATTGGCTAAATTTATAAAACTACAAGGTCAGCCTCTTGTCGCAAAGTGCAGCTCTCCCCATCTTCTAACAAAATATAGCTGTTGGGTTAATGGCCCAAGCCGAGGTCCGGCCCATTAATCCCTTTTTATCAGACGTACGTCCAGTTAGAACACAAGGCTAGCACGCAGGCCCATGTTCCTTGGGGAGGGACGAACGTCTGGAGTTGGGGGTTCAGGCCCAACGGCTCATCCCGACGAACGCCTGTGCGTAGACAAGGAGCAAGACCACGGACCACCAGGGATGACGACGAACGTCCCCATGGCGAGCCTATAGTCATCGGAGGAAACCCAGTCCACATGGTGAGTATCTATCAAGGCCAGGAGACGAACAACCGGTATCTCTTGAGGGTCACTTGGAGCGATCCAACTCACTTCTCGGGCGGACGAGCGTCCCCACTGATTAGGCGGGAAACCTAGATTCTGGCGGGAAGTGCATTTAATGCTGAAGATTTGGTAGTTGGGGCACCAGCGGTCCACAGGCTGCCACGTCAGTATAGCCACCTGCCCATTGGCGGGTATAAATAGAAGCATTTATTTCATTGTAAAGGGTTGGCAACTTTCTATTCTTAGCATACTAGCTTCAGCATTCTTACTTGTAGCACTTCTAGCTGTCTTGTAAGACGAACGGCCGACGTGCCTTTTTAGCAAGTAGATTGTACTTAGGGGAGTTATTACGAAGTTAATAATACCTATTTACATTGCCTGCTATTTCCTCTGTTTCCTGATCCATCTGATAGTTGTTGGGCTAGATATTCATATACTCACTCCACTCGAAATCCTTGGGCTTACGTGTTGGGCCTGAGGGTTGAAGGAATAAACCTCAACACTGGCGCCGTCTATGGGAAACTGAACAAAAAGGTTCCAGAAACTCTCCCAAACAGCTACTACATCTACCTACAGCAAACACGATGTCAGGAAGCAACAACCAGTGTGATCTCTCCGAGCGTCTGGAGTCAAGCCGCCGGAATCGCGGCCAGAACTCGGAACTGTCCGCAACGATATGGACCTCCGGGGGAAACGGGGGCATCACTGACCTCATTCCCCTTGAGGCCAGGCAGGATCCCCGCCTCATGCGGGAACTCGCCGACACCATGCGTCGTTTGGCAGACGAACGGGAGGCCCGAGATCAGGTGTACTCTGCAAGCACCCAGCGAACGCCCCTCTCTCCCATTCGCCGCATGCAGTCGTATGATGATACGACGGGATCCAGCGACCACCGGCCCTCAGTCCATGAGCGGCTAGGTGGGGGTTCAGGCTCCCGTGAAACGGGAGGGCGAACCAGGGTCAGCATCGCTGCATCCAGGGCTCACACGCCATCGGTTCCCCGCCAAGTCCCGCGGGGAGACGAAACCCCAAGGATCAACACCGTTGGACGACGTTTCCAACGGCGAGGTGCGCAGATCTTTTGGCGGCCGCACGATGCTGTGGCCGCTCAGCAGAATGCCGTCC